TGACTTCTTTAGCACTTTTCCTTTTCCTTGTTATCTTGTCTCCTCTCTACAACTCAAAACAACAACAAGAACAATAGCAACCAAATAAGACTTCACTATAATTATAAGAAAATTCATATCTAAAGCATGAATCCTTACCTTAGGATGCTTTAGATGAAATCTCTACTCAAAAACCCTCTTAAAACCCTTAGAAATCTTGAAAGATCAGATGGAAAAATTGAGAGAGCTCAGGCAAATGGAAGAGGCGGTGGAATGAAGAAATAAAGGGTTTCTCTACACTTAGCCCTTTTTTTAGTTCATATTATAAGCATCCTTTCCCATTTTGCCCTTACTCTTCTTTGGAAATTCCATCTATATCCTTTGATTCTTTACAAATACACCCCCATCCAAACACAATCTCTACTAAATTTCCTTACATTTTACTCCCCAATTATCCTACTAATTAGGGGTAAAAAGGTCATTGTGCCCCAAAAGAAGAATTCTCTAGAAAACTCAAGAAACTTTGTATTAGGCTCGTCGCCGCGGCGAAGCAATTTCCGTCACCCCGGCGAAACAGGGCAGAACCTACCCGTGGGAGCAGCTCCTCCTCCTCGCCGCGGCGAAGCTTCTTCTTCGCCCCGGCGAAGATTGGATTTCCAAACTTCACCAAAATTCAACCAATTTAAGGCAACCATTCAACCAACTCAACATACAACCTCAATTGAAACTGAAATAGTAAACTTTTAACTAATACAGCAAATCTTAAATACGTACCTCAAGTGGGATATTACATAAGGTCAAGAAATCATATCTCTTTTATGATAGGGATTATCTCTCAAAATAGGACTTAATGTCCTACTAAGATTCCAAATCTTATTTAAACTATTAAACTTAATCTAATAATGTCAAGAAATCAGATTTCTTTTTTTTTATAGGGATTATCTCCCAAAAAGAGGACTCAATGTCCTACTAAGATTCCAACCCCTTGGGTTCACTATAAAAACAGGGGCTTGCCCTCTCATTGAGATGCAATCTCCCATAGTCAATCTAAACTACTCAAAACTATCTATTTGCTCCTAAAGTTCTTGCTCCCAAGAACCCGACGCCTCCGCCATAGTCCAAGCTTCTAACAAGACTTTTGGTAATTCTTCATCTCCTTAATTCTTAGCCAAAATCTCTTTCAGCCTTGCTGACTTGAGCGTCGGAGTGCCTACGACAAACACCACATGTTTTCGAGAAACTTCACGCTTGCCATTTCATGTGTGTAGGTCTAGCGGATTGTTAGTGGCCTCAATCTCACGGGATTAGACCCTATTTTCATGACGGTAGATTTTTTGTATCTACAATTCCCGTGGTCTTTTTGCTCTCTTTAATTGAAAAGGTTTTTCCACATAAATTTTTTTTTGTGTTTCCTCGTAAATTGAATGTTATTTTTAATATAATTTGCTCAAGGTTTGACTTCTCATAAATTTATTCAAGTGGTAAAGTATTCATTTATTGCATTATTTTCTTTCAGATTATTGATATTATATTATTTCCTTTGATTAAAGTTTTGTGATTTTTTTAAAATTTTTACTAGTTGTTTGATAAATAATTACGGAGCCACGGAGGCCCCTGGGTCTGCCATTGGTCCCACCGAAGATCACTCCACCCCAGATGCCCTGTAACATCAGTAATCAGTACCTATAAACATTTTTAAACACCAATCATAATAAAATTAAAAAAAATAATGATACGTGGAGAAAGATTTAAGAATATGCCAGGAGCAATGGAGTTGCTCATTGGGCAGCATATGACTTTAAAAAGCAGTAGAGATTATAGGTTTTGTAAAGTAAAATTCCCTACTCGATCAAAATGAAACAGCTGTAGACAGTAGGGACTCAGCCATGGGGCATGGGCTACGGATCTGAAATGGCCACAGAGTGGGAATTCAGTTTCAGATCATGATCCATGGGCTGTCAGTAAGGCAGATCGAATCCACCAAGTGATTAATACAATGCCCTATAATAATATGGGTGACAGGTGAAATGTATAAAAGATGACTCAAAGCTCGAAGAATTATCTACGTACCATAACACCCCAGTGGAAGAACCATCCCAAAAGAAATCCAAGTGGTAGTCCGACGAGGTAGTAGCAGCCGAGATTTATGTATGCTATTTTTGCTTGCCAACCGGATCCAACAGCCAGTCCTGTTGCGATGACACCGTAGAATTTGTTGTGGCAAACAATATTTAAAAAAAGTAAAAACTAAAATGCTTCAAGTTTAGGAGTCGAATGTCTTCTAAAATTATAAATTTTTTTACGAGGGGGTAGAAAATTTACCTGATAAAACTGGTTGAACACTGTTAAAGATAACTGATATGGCTAATAAGTAAGAAAGCTTGTCGACTTCTTTGAGGACATCAGTGTTGGATATGAAGATTAAAGCAATCTTTCCCGTAATAACATGATAAGTAAGCAGAAGAACAGGCCAATAATGTTTGACTGTATCACGGACACCTTTGTGGCGAATTTCGCAGCTTTACCGTTGCCGGCTCCTAGCTCATTAGCTACCCTTACGCTGAATTTTGAATCTCGTGTTAGGAATCTTAAATAAGTGAAAGAATAAAATAAAATTGTTCACTTAATGCAATGAACTATATAATTTGTACCCAGTAGCTGCAAAGAAAGCAAGATGAATGGTCATTTCCTACCCATCGATATTCATACTGCAAGACAATTATTTAAGAGGAAGCCGTCAAAATAAGTATTGTCACAGAGGGATCGACTGAGCAATCTTTTTTAGATATAATTATGTAAATTCCCGTACCAGATTGACAAAGCATCTAAAGCTAAAGTGACATTTTTCAAATACCCAGTCATCAATAGCAGTATCCTGTAGTACCAATTTTCCAAGCTGCAAAACATCAAAATATATCGGTAAGGCTATAATTTATACTCTAATGATCTAACTGGCAAAATAACAACAAATGAACTACAATGTGAATTGAAGCTCGACCGGTGATTCAGAGGAGCGAGAAACACACCACAGCATGACCCCGGAAGAAATAGAGAGTTAGACAAATTCCCAAAGGCCCGAAAAGGCTTGCATAGAGAAACCAGTCCAGGTCAAAGGGCACCCACCAATTATATTATAGCCATAAAGCCCAAAAGACAAAACCCACCAAGATATATCCAAAGCAACTACCAAACCCACAACACCAAAATCTAAGACATAAACGACTAGCCAACTCGTCAACGCATTGACCACTAAACTCACAAATGAGGCCCATGCTATCACTTGTGTCTTTAGCTGGCTCAGCAAGAAACGACTCATTGGAAGCTGAAACGCAAAGCAGAAATGTAATGGTATCAACCACATTGCCAATACCCCCGATAGTTCCGCCACCTCATCAGACTGTCCTATAAATTTCAGAATCGGTGAGGCAAAAATGTCCAAAGGCAACAGCAAGAAACAACACGAGCATAACAAAATCCATGATCTCTGCACGTATATGCCTAACAGGTCGTATCTCCTCGCCCCAAAAGCTTGCCCAAAAAGTGTCTCCAAAGCGCTTGCCATTCCTAACTGATTATATTTGTCAGTCCATTAATGGCAAAAACAAATTGGTTAGAGAGATCACATAGAAAGTTTTATGTAGAGAGAGGAAGAAATATATAGTTAGTGAGAGAATACCAAGAAGCCATAATTGAAGCCAGCAATGACAGTGACGGACATGGAAACAGCCGCAAGTTCAACATTACCAAGGTGGCCGGCAAAAGCTTGGGTAATGAGGTTCATGGAGTAGGCGGATAAGCGGCTTAAAATGGAAGGCCCTACGATGTGCCATAGCTTCTTTGACTCAGTCCAGACCTTTGATGCAAGGTCCTTGTTTTCTTCATCATCGTCGTCCGCGCTTGTTAACAAGGGTTGATTGAATTTCCCGTCTCTGTTAATGATGATACCATCAGCCATGAGAGAATAGTCTTTGAATGTTATGGGGCAAATGGGTAAGAGTAGAGATGGTAAGCTACTGCGCAATCCAGTTGCTCTTCTCACCAATATGCTTTAAGGTTTGTTAAATTCACTTTCCATTGATATTAACTCAATGTGCAAAATCATATATAAAAATGTTAAATATACTTCTATACCCGTGGTCAAAACTTACAAGGGAGAGTATTAATTATCCGTATAGCATATTAAATCTGTTATAATTTATCATATGATATTTAAAAACTATCATTTATATTAATGTTTATGGACTTAATACATAAATAACTTTGTCACGTCTTCTAAACTGTAATAAAAAAATCAGATTAATTAGGACCCATCGAGATTGATGATTCACGTTTTATCATAAATAATAGGTTAATTAGATAGATGTTGAATTCCACATGCTCCCTCAACCAATCGGAAGCAGCAATATGAGTAAAGGAAGGCGTTATAGATGGAAATGAGGAGATCATTAGCTATAATTTATATGATAAAAATATAGTAGCATATTAATTATATGATATTTTTTTGCAACTAATAGCGTCAATTAATCTTATGACTGTAAGTGGAGGAGGATAATTGAAATATATATGAATAAAATATGAGAATTTCACAATGAGGTGAATAAAGTGATGCAAATAAGTTTGACTTCGAATGGAGAATACTTTGTTCCATGAAAATGGTAATCATGCATCAAGTGATTGACGCCATCCAACACAACTATTAAATCTATTAAAATCCATCTCAAAGATATTAAGACAAACAAGTCTCACGAATATTAATAAAGGTAGTTATCGAAAGTTTAACTAACTGTTAATTTTAGGGTTTCAAAAGATTAGTTAAGGTGAACATAAACTGGTCTCGATACCCCGGATATTAAAAGAAAAAACAAAGCAAAGACAAACAAGCCTCAAACCCCAAACTTCAGTCCCTAGCCTGAAAATTAAAATATATTTATGCTACTACGTAGTAGAACTTGCAGAAAACAAAAATGCAAAAAAAAATCACACTTAACTACATAGTGTCAACTGTCAACCAGGACTGATGTCTAGTGTGATAAATCTTCAACCTGTGGTTGGTTATCTGATTTTGGAATTGACCACTTCTGCACCCGGTGGCTAGCTTTTTCGGCCTGTAATGCCACGACACAATTACTTTAATCACATCAATAATCGGAATAATTAGAAAACTTAAAACTGTCATTTAAATCTCTACCTCCATTTCCCAATCAGTTCGAACAGTTATAGCGGCCAGGATCACTGTTTGAACAGCAGTCCCACCAAAGATCATTCCACCCCAGATGCCCTGAAATTTGTTTAAACGATGCCATACAATCATAATAATAAATTTAAAAAAAAAAAATTATGTTTCATGGAGAAATATTTTAGAATTTCCCAGAAGCAAAAAGAATTACTCTTTGGGCAGCAGATACGACTTCAAAAAGCAGTGAGAAACTATTGGTTTTGTAAAGCGAAATTTCCAATCTACTAACCATAACACCCCAGTGGAAGAGCCATCCCGTTAGAAATCCAAGCGGTAAACCAATGAGGTAGTAGCAGCCGAGATTTATGTATGCTACTTTCGCTTGCCATCCGGATCCAACAGCTACTCCTGTTGCAATGACACCGTAGAATTTGTTAATACAATAAATTTTAACAAAGTTAAAAGTAACGGCGTATGAAGTTTAGGGGCCAAATGTCTTCTAAGTACTTTGGAAATCTAATGTCAAAAATATAATTCATTCAAATGGTGTATTGAAATCCTAACTTTATATGCTCTTTTCATTTTTTTTTTTTGCTGCGGCGTTAGAGAGTACACCTGATAAAACCGGTTGAACACTGTTAAAGAGAACTGTTATGGCTAATAAGTAGGAAAGCTTGTCGACTTCTTTGAGGACATCAGTATTGGATGTGAAGATTAATGCAATCTTTTCCCGTAATAACATGATAAGCAAGCAGAAGAACATGCCAATAATGTTTGACTGTATCACAGACACCTTTGTGGCGAATTTCGCTGCTTTACCGTTGCCGGCTCCTAGCTCATTAGCTACCCTTACGCTGAATTTTGAATCTCGTGTTAGGAATCTTAAATAAGTGGAAAAAAAAAAAAAAAAAACTGTTCACTTAATGCAATGAACTATATAATTTGTACCCAGTAGCCGCAAAGAAAGCAAGATGAATGTTCATTTCCCACCCATTGATATTCATACTGTAAGACAATTATTTAAGAGGGGAGCCGTCAAAATAAGTATTGTTACAGAGGGACTGACTGAGCAATCTTGTTTAGATATAATTATTTAAAATCCCGTACCAGATTGACAAAGCATCTAAAGCTAAAGTGACATTTTTCAAATACCCAGTCATCAATAGCAGTATCCTGTAGTACCAATTTTCCAAGCTGCAAAACATCAAAATATATCGATAAGGCTATAATTTATACTCTAATGATCTAACTGGCAAAATAACAACAGATGAACGTACAATGTGACTCAAAGCTCGACCAGTGATTCAATTCAAAGGAGCAAGAAACATACCACAGCATGACTCCGGAAGAAACGGAGAGTTTGAAAAATTCCCAAAGGCCCGAAAAGGCTTGCATAGAGAAACCAGTCCAAGTGAAAGGGCAACCACCAAATATAGTATACCCATAAAGCCCAAAAAACAAAACCCACCAAGAGATATCTAAAGCAACAACCAAACCCACAACACCAAAATCCAAGACATAAACGACTAGCCAACTCGTTATCGCATTGACCACCAAGCTCACAAATGAAGCCCATGCTATCACTTGGGTCTTGAGCTGGCTCAGCAAGAAACGACTCGTTGGAAGCTGAAACGCAAAGCAGAAATGTAATGGTATCAACCACATTGCCAATGCCCCTGACAGTTCCGCCACCTCATCAGACTGTCCTATAAATTTCAGAATCGGTGTGGCAAAAATGTACAAAGGCAACAGCAAGAAACAACACGAGCATAACACAATCCATGATCTCTGCACGTATATGCCTAACATGTCGTATCTCCTCGGCCCAAAAGCTTGCCCACAAAGTGTCTCCAAAGCGCTTGCCATTCCTAACTGATTATAATTGTCAGTCATTAGTCAAGCCTTCAATCCCATTAATGGCAAAAACAAATGAGTTAAGAGAGATCACATAGAAAGTTTCATGTAGAGAGAGAAAGAAACATATAGTTAATCAGGGAATACCAAGAAGCCATAATTGAAGCCAGTAATGACAGTGACGGATATGGAAACGGCCGCAAGTTCAATATTGCCAAGGTGGCCAGCAAAAGCTTGGGTAATGAGGTTCATGGAGTAGGCGGATAAGCGGCTGAAAATGGAAGGTCCCACGATGTGCCATAACTTCTTTGACTCAATCCAGACCTTTGATGCAAGTTTCTCATTTCCCTCGTCATCATCAACGCCTGCTAACAAGGGTTGATTGGAACTCCCAGCCATCAGAGACCGACAATAGTCTTCGAATGTTAAATATGTGTAAGAGTAAAGAGATGGGAACCTACAAAATCCAGTTGCTCTTGTCACCAATATGTTTTAAGATGCTGTTACATTCTTGTTGCATTTATGATTTATTATATTTACTGCAAAATTATAAAAATTTAAAATATGCTTGTGCAGTGGTCATATGAAATCTATTTATATATTATATCCATTTGTTGACTCATATTTATTAAAAACTTTTTTGAAGAAATCAGATGAGCAAATTAAGAACCTTCGAGATTGACAATTCACGTTTTACGATAAAAAAACTTGAGAGAGAAACTGAATTCCACATGTTCCCTCAACGGCTTAACCATTCTGAAGTCGCAAGGTGAGTAACTGAAGGCGTTATAGGTGGAAACGAGAACTCATTAGCTACGTTTTCTATGAAAATCTATTAATTTTTAAATTAGTTCCTGTTAAAGTATATCTTATCTTGTCATTGAAGTCACAACTCTAATGAAATACTCGCTGCATCCCAATGTTTATTGTCAATAGTACACACAGAAGGGAAATAATATTCAGACAAACAAGCCCTAAACTCAGTGCTACAAGACGATATTGTATACTGATAACTGACTAGAGCTTCAGTCTTGGTCCTTTAATTGATTAACTGGACCAAGAATTGACCATTTCTCTACACGGTTGCTAGCTTTTATAGCCTAAAAATCGTACAAAACTTATATTACTTCATAGTAGTCCTTGCTGAAAATAAAATAAAATAAAAATTCCACATTTAACTACGTTAAGTCCTGCATACCTCCTCTTCCCAATCGCATAGACTTGTTATGATGGCTATTGGCTCGTCCCGCCAATTATCCTTCCAGCCCATATGCCCTGTTACATCCATACTAAATTTTGCATTAACATTTTTCTGGGAAAAGCATTGGTGGGTCAATCATGAATTTGTAATAGTTTTTGAGTTATATGTTTCATGTGATTGTTGACATTGACCATAACACCCAAGTGGAAGACCCATCCCATCAAAATTCCGAGTGGAAAGCCCAATAATGCAATAGCACCCAAGGTTTACAAATGCAACTGTCCCTTGCCATCCCTATCCAACAGCAACTCCTGTCATGATAAAGAAAATAAATTTGTTTATAAATGATGGAGATTGAACTCATTGGAGAAAGAATACGTAGGGTATAATTTGCTTTACCTGAGCGAACTGGCTGAGCACTGTTAAGGAGAATGGTGAGGGCTAAAAGGTAGCAGAGTTTATCAACTTCGTGGAGAACATCAAAGCTGGAGGTGAACAAAAATGCGATCCTGTGGCGGAGTATTATGATAACCATGCAGAATATGATACCAATCACCATTGATTCTGCCACAGCCACCACCGTTGCAAATTTCGCTGCCTTACCCTTCCCAGCTCCTAGTTCATCAGCCACTCTCACTCTGAAAATTTTATGGCAAAATCATTATGAACTTGTATTTCTGTTTTTTTAAGAAAAAAATTAACTGAAATCATGTAGAATAAACAAACAGTTAGTGGGTTGATCCATTAAACAAATTGCCTAAGGCTAAATAAATTGATTTTTACATTATGTTAACTTGAATCCCCAAAATTAGGCGGTATTCTTGAAAACAGAACTATGAAGATTCCAATGTTCTGTCCAGACTCCAGAGTATGCATAGAAAATCCTCAATTTGATTTTATGATTACTACTGTAAAGAAAGTTAATTTGTTCGGCCTACGAACCCAACAAAAAACTACCACTGAAGGAGACTATTTCTGAAATAAGTTACCGTTAAATTTCTCATTGATTCCCTAAATACACAGCGATAACTTTGCATTGTCTTACAAAGTGCTAATACTCTTTCTCACTCTCTCATTTTTGTTGTGACACATGTACAAGGAGACCAAAAAAAAAAATATCATTTACTTTTCAAATATTTTTGTGTAAAAGAGGGTGAAAGAATTCTGTATATTGTCTACATTCATAAATATGAAATAGTAGGTACATGAGATAATTTTGTGGTGACAAATAGTTAACATATTGAGGGTTGATTTTTTATTTTTATTATTTCTTTTTTTATGATCAAATATATCCGGGTTAGTTTACGCACATCTCAACTAATCTCTGAAATTTAAAATTATCGATCAAGTAAGAACTCCAATAGTTATCTTTATTAGCATCCGAGAAGAGACTCGAACTTAAGATTTATTTAGAATTGATTTTAAGGCCACTCTCAGTTTATATTTTAAAGTTATAGAGCTTCGGTTAGGGGTAATATCAACAGAAATAGCATGAATTTTAGCAAAGTTGTAAAGCCATTATTTCACGAGTATGCAATTTGCAAAGGCATTAAGACATGACTTAAAACATATTAAAGAAAATGATATATGAATTCCAAAGTTAATTGGTACCCTGTAGCAGAGAGTTAAGCCAAGGGAATCATCATCTGCGATACTGATACTCATGCTGCAATGTTAATTCTAAACAGGCTGATCAGAAGGATAGTTTTTTCTTTTTAATTAGCACGTATTCGATAATTACTTTACTACAAAACATAAGCATGTTTGTCCCTATTGTAATCTTCTTTAATTTTGTAGGAATATGAATATAAAATGGAGGACAGAATAATTACAATACCAGACTGACAAGGCATCAACAGCTAAAGTGGCATTCTTTAAATGCCTAGTCATCAGTATCAGTATTCTGTAATACCAATTTTCCAAGCTGCCAAACAAAGTGTATCTAAAGCGCTTGCCATTCCCGTTTGTAGTAGTGATCGATTAATGAAACCAGAAAAAAACAAATTTTAGATATGGAAAAGAGAGAATAAAGAACAATAGAATGTAGACGGAATTAATTCATTAATTAAGATAATTTCGTGATTACAAACTTACAAGGAAGCCGAAGTTGAAGCCAACAATGACAGTATTGGCAATGGAAATGGCTGCTAGTTGAACATCACCAAGGTGACCTCCAAAAGCTAGGATGCTGATGTTTGTAGTATAAACAGCCATGAGGCTCAAGATGGCAGGACCAGCAATGCGCCATAGTTTCCTTGTGTCACTCCAGACCCTTGCTACAAGGTTATTCTTTTCTTAACTATGATCAGGTACTACGTCGTTTGATTCTGGTAGAAATGGTTGATTGAGTTCCGTATTCGTTCTTATACATTCCATCAGATCTGGACTACACAGACAGGCCACTCAGTTGTAGTAAAACTAACAAGTGGAAAAACTTGTGTAACATGTGCCATGGGAAGAATATAATAAGATAAATACGCATACATTTGCTCCACAAGAATCAAGAAACGAGGTGGATTTTGATTATATTGGATTTAACAATGTAATTAACTGTACAGGATTTTCTTAAAAATAGTTTCATTAAATTTTATAGATAAGTTTATTGATTTGCAGACCACAATATATGTATATATATATATTTTTTTTTTTTATTCTATTTATGTGTAAAACCTATTTCTAAAGTTTTAAACCCCATCAGCATGAACTTGGACAGAAGCGAAAGATTTTGCCTTAACCAGAAGGCTAAAGCCTGTATGGCTCCACGTGATCTACTATACCATTTATGCTTTGCAATTTCAGGATTTGTTTAGCACTTTAACCCATTAAAATTGAGTCTATGTATACAAGGCTTAGTCCCCTTAGGTTTCCAGAGTTTTTCTTTTGTCATGTTACTTGTATTTATTATCTCACGTCTTCTATTATATTCATATTTTTTTTTATATATATATTATGTGATTTTTGTTTTTTTTTTTTTACTTGTCGCATATATAGAATTGTTATAAATCTAAAATCTTTGATTTTTTTTTTCAATTTTTTACTTTTAATTTAACATCAAATTAATCGAATTTAACTAACCTGTCTATAATCATGATTATATTTTATAATTTTTGGTTTTTTAGTTGTACTGTTTTTGAAGTTAATTAATTCACATCTCAATTAATATTACACAATAAATTAAAAAAATCGATTATAATTATTACCTCTTTATATAAATATTAAGTTATTAACTATCATTTATCTTTCGCTATAAAATTTCGAATATATATTGTTGTGTGTGATTTTTCCATCAAGTTCGGTAAGTTGCGAGGTATTAGATCGACCCAGAATCAATGCAACTCTACCGGTTGTCCGATCCAGCATAAGCTCGTCGACATATAGCTCGACCCAGCGCAAGCTAGTCGCGAACAACCCGAATGATTATTCAATCAATTCTCAGATAATTTCAAATCTCAAATATTACGGGAATGACTGGATTAACAACAATATTTGCGCAATCACAGTGCCCAATTACGAGAATATCAGAATTGTAGTTCAGATCAATTTTAATCCTTTTATTTTCACTCTTTCGTTTGCACAAACCTTGTATACAAACCCCTCAAATGATGAAAAGTGGGTTAGAAATTTTCCATAGAACTCTCAATGTAAACTCTCATAGCAAATATAAGAACAGTGGACGTAGGCATAAGAGGTTGCCTCGCCGAACCACTTTAAAAATTTTACTTTCTTTTACTTTATTGCACTTAACATTCATTCATCGCTGATTATCCGTAATCATGCCCACATCCATTCCGATTCCACTAAAGCCAATCGGATCTCTCTGGTTGGTGCAAATTTTTGTAGCAATATATATATATACTTATCAAAATGTTGTTAATAAGCTAATTATACAATATATTTATTGAGTTCTCTCACAAAAAATAAAATAAAATTGAGTCCTCCACTTTAATTATACTATAATAGTGGGGCTAGTGCTACTGTGCACGAAATGTGATGACGGTGAATATTGATGAACATTGATTATGTCGATAATAGGGTGCTTTGATAAAGAAAGTAAAGAATTCTGAAAGAAAGTAGGTCAAGTATATTGTCTTTTCTAGAATGCATGGATAACGTGTTTTGAATTCTAAACCAAAGATCCTACATTTACAAAGCTTTTTCCTTTTCTGTTGACATATTCATCCAGTTTATCATTATGCCTTGAGTAGTTTTGATAAATTATTATTGTCTTAAATAAATCTCAGTTTTTGAGGAAGCAGCATATGTGAAGATGAAGATACGACGAATTAATGTTTTTTTCCACTATGTTTCAATGGAATATATACAACAAATAACTTGTTCTTAATTAGTATCAGAATTGCCAAAAAAAAACAACAAAACAAAACAAAACTTGGTCGATTAATGGACACATTCAGAAAGAGAAACGGTCGAGTTACCTTGGAAAAATTAAAAAAAAAAAAAAAAAAAAAAAAAAAAAAAATAGCACTAATTTCGGTTCAGGTTGTATTCAAAAGCTAAAAAACTGTCTCCTCACGGGCGCTATAAAGTTGAGAGATATATTATATTATTATTCAGAATAGATTCTTCCATTTTCTTTTAACTAATGCTGAATTTATCGAAGGGTGTACACCAAATTTGTTAATCAAATGACGTAACGAAATCCTGACCGTTGATTCATTATAAGTTAATATTAATCAACAGTCAAGATTTTACTACGTTATTCGATGCACAAATTCGATGTGTAATTTTAGATAACTCTATCATTTTTCTTTTCTTTTTGTGTAGTTTTATGGACACATTCAGAAAGATAATCTTCTCCACTGTTGTGGATTTATAATTCATACTCCTTTTTGTTCAAAACTTTTTGCTATTATTAAAAAAATTGATGCAGTGGTTTTTGCTACTATTAAAAAATTGATGCATTGGACAATGAAATGAACAGTAATTTAAAAAAAAAAAAAGCTCAAAATCAGATTGAGGTGGCCGGTTGGAATCCATAATACTAAAGCGTAGTGCGGTTAATTACTTCGGTCTTCTGAGTCATTGTCCGGGTTGGGACTCGACCATTTCTGGACGCGTTGCTTTGCTTTTTCAGCCTGTAAATCCATCAAATTGATAAATTGAGGACACTAGAATGTGTTAAAGTTAAGTATATTTCAATGTAACTGTGCCAAATCCTACCTCCTTATCCCAATCGCATCTTGCAGTTATAATGGACAACACGACTGTTTGAAAAGCAGTTCCACCCAAGATCATTCCTCCCCAGATACCCTGATGCAAAAATACGAAAACAGTTTTTGTCAATACAAGAAACTTTATAATCTTCCCATACAGAATGCATTAAAAAACTTAAATATATGAAAACTTGGGTTCTTGAAAAATGGGTAGAAGTTCATGAAAAAGAAGGTAAAAGATTGGGAACATCTGGAATCATTTTTGTTCGTATGGTTAGCCACTTATCATGTGAAGTAGCAGCATCTTTTGTGCACTTTGGCCTTATTTGGTATAACAGGCGTATAATACAAGCCATACCTTTAGAGACTACCAGAAACCTGACTCACTAAGCAATGGTTCAGATGGACCACATGCCCTCCAATAAATACGACAACAAACAGAAGCAAAAGGTAAAACTTACCATAACACCCAAATCGACGACCCACCCCATTAGAATTCCCAGAGGGAGTCCTACGATGTAATAGCATCCAAGATTTATATATGCAACCATTGCCTGCCATCCAGACCCCACAGCCACTCCTGTCACAGTGAAATTAAAACTCTTAAGTCTTAAAAAATGGATGAAAAACACGTATCCATCAGTACTTTATGTTGATTAGAAATGCACCTGATAAAACTGGTTGAACGCTGTTAAGGAGAATTGTGACAGCTAAGAGATAGGAGAGCGTATTAACTTCTTCAAGGACATCTTCACTAGAAGTGAATATTAATGCGACCTTGTCTCTTAGTATCATTATTACAACACAAAGGATGAGGCCGATTAGAGTCGATTCTGCAACAGCTACAATTGTTGCAAATTTTGCTGCCTTACCGTTCCCAGCTCCCAGTTCATTGGCCACCCTCACTCTGTAAATTTTATGCCACCCACCAACCAAGTCATCAATAATGGCTAGTAGGTGTAATAGAACTGTTTGGTAAATTATATTCTATTTTAGTTTCGTCAGTTGAAACTATAAAGTATCAATAAGATATTACTGACTCTTAAGTTCACTTCTTCTAATTAATTTTGTTTTGTCTCCTAATTGATCGAGTAGTCGTTATTCAATGTGGTCACGCCATCATCAGACAGTGACATCCACTAGGATAAGTTTTACTAAAAGCCAATAATAGTTGAAAGTTGAAACGATGGAGAAAAGAACAACTAATCTTCATTTTCTATTTCTTAATTTTCGTGGTCACAAATTCATGAAGTTAATTATAGTCTTATGAGATGGCGTAATTATCTGTGTACTGAAGGCAGTGATATTTCATAAAAGAACAAAATATATATAAATTTTTATAGAAAGAATTAGTCATCGATGGCGCATCTCTAAACAAGATCAATAATTTAGTCACGATTCATGTAATAATTGGGTAGCTATATCATGCATATGCTTTAAAGAGAAATGATTTTAAGATTAAAAAGGAAACAATACCCGGCAGCAGCGAAGAAAGCAAGAGGAATCATTATTTCCCATCCGTTCACACTCATGCTACATAATTAAATCCAAGTATAACGAGTTAGTTTGAAGGAACTTCATCCTAAATTCAAATTAAAAAAGGAAAAAAAAAAAAGTTAAATAAAACCATATTTATAGTACCAGACTGATAAGGCATCCACAGCTACAGTGGCATTGGATAAATGTCCAGTCATTAATATTAATATTCTATAATACCAATTTTCCAAGCTGTACCAACAACAAAAACACAAAACAAAACTACATTAGTGAGAATAGAGAGTTATAGTTAAAACCAAAAAAACAAAAAGCACAGCGAGTGTCGGCAATCCTCTTCAGAACGAAAATATGGTTTCAAATTTTAGTAGCTTCTAATAATTATTCGTAAACATGATTAAATTAGGGATGATATTGAAAACGAATGGGTACCATACAAGTAAACCAATTAAATTAATAAATGATAAGACTATTTGTCACGAGAATTTATAATAAAAATGATAGAAATTTACACAGTTTTCTACATTGTTCTTCAAAAGTTTCGGCTACAAATTCGTGAACGTAACGTAAGCGGAACAGAGAGAGAGAGAGAGAGAGTCTTACCATAACATGACTCCAGAAGCTATAGAGAGTTTGGTGTATTCCCAGAGGCCAGAAAAGGCTTGCATAGAGAAACCCGTCCATGTTAAAGGACACCAACCTAATGCAGTATAACCAAAAAGACCCAAAAACAACACCCACCAAGAGATATCCAACGCAATAGCCGCACCTATTACACCATAATCTAGAACATAAACGAATAGCCAGCTTGTCAATATATTCACCAATAGTCCCACTAACGATACCCAAGCAATTACTTGGTTTTTAAGCTGGCTCTGCAGGAACCTCTGCACCGGAAACTGAAAAGCAAAACTAAAGTGCAATGGGATCAGCCACACCGCAACTACCCCCGACAACTCTGCCACGTCATCCGGCTGACCGAGCCATTTCAGAATCGGAGTTGCAAAAACGTAAACGGGTAATAGCAAGAAGCAGAATAGGAAAAGTACAATCCATGATCTTTGCATGTAAATGCCTAACATATGGTATCTTTTGGCTCCAAAAGCTTGACCGCAAAGTGTCTCTAATGCGCTCGCCATTCCTAACTAATTTCAGAACCCAGAAAATTAAGCACAAATTTTATGAGAGAACTCAAGAGGATCAGTGGTTTAGATAGATAAATGGAGAGAGTTTTGAATTCAATACCAGAAGACCAAAATTGAAGCCAACGATTACAGTATTGGCTATGGATATAGCTGCCAGTTCAACTTCACCAAGGTGGCCGGCAAATGCTTGGCTGATGATGTTCATGGTGTAGGCTGAAACCCGGCTGAATATTGCCGGACCAACGATCTGCCATAGTTTCTTTGATTCAATCCAGACCCTTACTGATAATTTTTTATTGTCTTGATCTTCATGATCATCAGTTGCTTCTCTCAACAAAGGCTGATTAGGATCACCGTCTCTCTCAACACTACCCATAATACAAGTTTCAAAGCTTCTAGTACCTTGCCTTAGTTTCTGAAAAATAGAGAGCCTGAGCCCTTAGATTCCGAAAGAAAGATACCCAGAACTTATAGAATACTAGAAGTTTAAGGTGTGAAAGGACAGGTAAATGTCGAATGGTGGGCTTTTAAGCCCATACGTCTTTCGGTCTACGTGTCTTTCTGTAGGCTCTGAACATTAATCCTCCCACGTAGAACTTGAACCATATCACGTGGCGTGGAAAAGTTGACAAGTAGTTGACAAGTTTTATAATACTTTATATGAAAAGTGAAAACCCATCATCATAAGTTAATTTTCTTTTCATATTTTACCTTAGCCATTCTATAAAAAGCCGGCACTTGATTTTACGTAGGGACGTCATGTAGCTAGGGGTTTTTTCGTTTAGGTGTAATTCTTTATTTCTTATAAAATTATCGATTATCCAAAAAAAAAAAGGGACCTGTAAAAGGTGGATTCCGAAATAAGATGATGATAAAAATGTATCTGTATATAGAATAGAATCAGTTAATATGAACCCAATTACATACCCTAACAACAATGAATGCATTTGTTGATATTTAATTTTAATACCAATTATTCATACATGTGAAGTGCTAAACGGACTTAAAAATCATACATGATATGAAAGTATAAAAAGAGATTAAACGGATAATACTTTTTAAAGTGGTTCGGATGCTCTAAGGCAAATCTTACGTTCACTGTGATTATATTAATGGGTGATTACAATCAGGTCGCACTCGACGAGCTGGATTACAATAGAGAAAATAAATGTGGGGAGAGAGAGAGTGTATGTTTTGAGCGGTGGATGAGTCAATCCTGTAAAATAGAGGAAAACCCTCTATTTATAATTGGAAGATTCAAGCTGATAATCATGATTCTGTGTGCAGGCAGGTGTGGTATAATTCCTAACCCGCTTCCCATTGGTTGTCTATACGAGAGATATCCTTAAATCGCGTAGGACTTTAGCAGGTAAGCAATTCTTAACCACTCATAAGTCTGTCATTCACTTGTCTCATTGACGATGACTTTACCCCTTTCGTCCTTGCGGGACGTGATTGCATCTAGACGGCAGAAAACCTTCCTCAATTCTGATTGGTCCTTACTGATTTAAGCTTACGTCAGCCTTGATTTTTTGGGCATAACAACATTTATCTTTTGCTGGAACATATATGCACATACGTTACCCATTAGTTTTGTAAGTTACTGTATATAACCATTTCTTTCTTTAATTGTCAATCTGAAAATCTGTCATGGGATTAAGATGATCCATTTTTTAAGTTTTATTTTTGTTTTCTAATCATATAGTTACCATATCTTTGGTCATGTATATAAATTATTTCCTTTTTTCTTCAATCATTAACTTTAATATTTTGTAACTCATCAGTGATAATGTTTTCGAATCAGCCTGAAAAATATTACGTAATTTGTAACTCACATTAATTATTAAGGAACAAGTAAGTAAATTATTTAAAATTCCATGATTATTTTCGGTGAATGTTTAGTGATGAATTTCCTGAAAATTGAAATCAATTAAAGTACCGTAGAAGGTTTTATTTTTCATTTTAAGTTCCATTTAAGTAGATTAAATTCAAAGATGATAGGCGATCACCCTTCACTAACACATTTTGACTGTGTGGAATTTAAGAAATTAAGAGCTCAAATTTTGAAACTGGATATTTAATTTAATAAATTTGTGTAAAATAGATGTATGCAAAAATATCTATGGGCTGACCATCTGGTGGAAAGGCCGTGTACAAGAATGGTAGTTCCCGTTTATGCAGTCATCGCTGTTGTCATTCGAGGGGTCCAAGATTACGATTTTCAGCAACAACTAGTATTGATTCCAGTTGTCCAGTAAAATTATGTACAGATATAAAAGAAAATTAGTAGAGTTTGAGGAGTGTGAGCCGTAGGTAATGGGAAAAGAACTCTTTGATTTTTCTCTAAACTTGGAACAATTTGAATTGGGACGTTACTACAAGTCAATTGCAATTTTGTAACCACAACTAGTTTAGTTCATTCAGATCCATCAAATAAGTAAAACATGCCTGAATGAAAAGGATTGTCTAATAATTAAGACGTGTAACAGTTAGTTGAATTGATGAGGTCATTACTTACATAAGTAATTTATAGATACGCATTTCTATTTGTAATCAATCATATCACTATTTGGTCTACGTTTTAACTAAAACCCTTTGGATATTGTTATCCTCACCGTTCACGAGCCCCCACCACATTGATTGCCGCACCACTTAATGGGCCAATCACAGTATCACGCAAAGTTTGTAATTTATTGAATCGTAAATAAATGTTGTCACGTGGGCAATAAATCGGTTGAACATTCTGGTCCAAGTGATATGCTTCCAGTTTCAATTATCAATTCTGTAGAGCAGAATTTTAGCCACCATTAAGTTACACAACCACTAAATCAATCAATGTCGATCACATGGAGTTTTTTGTACAGGCACCCAAATCAGTTCAGCAATTAAACACTTTCGCTAACCAGAGGAATTGAGGTACAATATTCAGAACCATAAATCTCCTTGGACAATCCATATAAACTTAAATGTTTTAAAATACAAAGAATAAATCAAACACGCTTTGAAGTGTGGCTTTGCAAAATTAAAATGATCAGTTGGACGCTGCCTCATTAAATATATGGATCCAAGCCTTCTGTGCCTGTAAATATCAGTTCAACAGCAATAAATATTTAACCTCCTTTAAACAGAAAGAGCTTTATGTAAGTGTTTGAGAGTAACACGATCTGGAGTTACCTCTTTTTCCCATTCACATTTTATGGTGATGATAGATAGTATCAATGTTTGAACCACAGTTCCACAGATCATTCCTGTCCAGATGCCCTGCTTATATCATTTTACAACTCAGAGATTGAATGAAAGCTTTGTAGACAAACATACAAACAGCCCCAAATAACTATTACATGGTTTACGTTAGCAGAATTCAGAAGCACATCATAAGTTATACTTTGTAGTTAGTAACAACAACATGGCATAGCAGGTTAGAGAATTCTGAAGTCATAATCAAGTTTCATCATACTTAAATGAGTAATGTGGCATTAATTTTTAACGGGGATTGTGTGATTGTATGGTAATATGATGTATAGCTTTAAATAAATGCCACATTACTTTGGATGCAAAAATTAGGATACAAATTTCAGATATACAGCATTATTCTCCTTATTTATGTAGTATATCACAGTGTGCCTGAGCGATTGTGGAAGAGTAATTGTGCTTACAGTGATATTAAATTGGAGCAACCACCCCAATAAAACCCCAAGAGGCAGTCCAACTAGGTAGTAGCTACTAATGTTTATAAATGCCACTATTGCTTGCCAACCGGATCCAACTGCCGCACCTGCAAAATGACATACAGTCACGAAAACATACCACAAGACTCAAATTTGCAAATGCCATGGGAAAAAAAAATTGATCTTCTCACCTGAAAGAACTGGTTGAATGCAATTGAGGAGAATGGTGCATGCCAGTAGAAGTGCCAAGTCATTGACCATCGTAATAACAGCAGAAGTTGAGGTAAAAATCACTGCAAGCTTCTCAGGGATGGCCATAATAATTGACCAAAAGAAAAGTCCAACCAAAAGGGAGTTCAGCACTGAAACAATGGTGGCAAATTTTGCACCATTTGCATTGCCAGCACCAAGCTCATTTGCCACGCGTACTCTGAATGAAGAAATCATTGCTTATTATTAAGTGAGAAGGGGGAAAACTTGATTAGTCTACTTCAATTTATTCTCTTCCTAGATGAACAGCTTTTAATCCCAAAAATACAATGGAAACTGGAAAATATAGTACTAATTTTCTGTTTGAATACGAATTTTTTGAAGGAATTTAAAGAGTCCTTGACTAACCACAATTCGCAGTTCCAGAGTAATAGAACCAATCAATTAACTTTTCAGAATGTATTTGACCAGAAAAACCTTAAAGATGACAAGTTATCTTATTTCAAACAAACCGGTGTCCAAATTTACGAAGTAAAAAGTTCTACAGGTTTCAGTGTATTGGAGAAGGCATGTGTCTAAACCATACAAATGCATACGATAATATAAGTATCATTTTGGACCATGTTGAGATTCAATTCAAACTATAGTTAATGTTTATCCTTAGCTTTCAACTTGTACACTTCATATGCTATCAAAATCATACATGAGAAACGCATGAGGCTCAATTGTTGTTAGAACTGTGGCCTGTGGGCTGAATGAACTGTCTTCAGTGTTCTGATAAAATTATTACCTATTATGAGATAATAACAGAAATTATTACACGGTTTAATAGTTAGTCTCATAAGAGAGACAAGACAACTAAAGAAAAGGTTTCAAAGTACAGGGATAAGGTGATAAACACATTTGCCTGTTCCGCTCCTCACTTTCTAGGTGTGCAGTTGACTTATCATTATAATGATGAAGTCAATATATTCCTATACACTCAATTCTTCCTAGACATCGAACATTTTTTTTCACTTTTTTTACAATTTATAGTGGATAGTTTGGAGAGACAAGGGAAGTGGAACTTACAACCAGAAACATACCCAGTGGCAGCCAAAAATCCTAGAGGAACCATGGATTCCCAGCCATATATAGTAATGCTGCCAAAAGTATTTAGAATGTAGAGTAACTAAAAATTTCAACAAGCAAACAATAGATTCTCAAACAAAGAAACGAAATTATAGAAACAAAGTTCAGAACTAGGAACCAACCAGATTGAAAGGGCATCAACAGCTACCTCAGTGTTGTGCATATAACCTGACACTATGATCAAGACCCTATAATAGAAGTTTTCCAACCTAAATAATCATAAAAAACACAAACAAAATTGATCATTTCCAATATTAAAACATTCAATATTCATTAAACCAATAGTATGCAAACACATACGAGAGCATAACCCCAGAAGCCACAGAGAGTTTAAAAAATTCCCAAAGCCCAATAAAGGCTTGAGCAGAGAAACCAGTCCAAGACAGAGGACAGCCACCACAAACACTGTAGCAGAAAAGTCCTAAAACCGACAACCACCATGAAAAGTCAAGAGTGATAGCAGTTCCAACAATTCCAACTCTCAACTT